GGGGGGGGGGCCACCCCTGGGCGTGCAAGTGTCCCCGCCCCCTGGCACCTAGCAGGCAAATGGCCACGCCCCCTGGCGCTCGACAACCTCAAAAGGTTGGGGACCACTGATCTATAACGTATATCAGGTATGCATAAATATATAACTATAAATAAAGTATCAGATTCAGGAGGATATTTCCTGCTTAAATTTACTTACCATAGGGGGGGGCCACCCCTGGGCGTGCAAGTGTCCCCGCCCCCTGGCACCTAGCAGGCAAATGGCCACGCCCCCTGGCGCTCGACAACCTCAAAAGGTTGGGGACCACTGATCTATAACGTATATCAGGTATGCATAAATATATAACTATAAATAAAGTATCAGATTCAGGAGGATATTTCCTGCTTAAATTTACTTACCATAGCAATTCTCTCATCATGTTGCTTTGCCCCAGAAATTGAATCATTTCCTCTAGCTGAAATTAAACAAATAATTTAATTCACTTGTAGTTATGTTGGTCATAAAGTGCTCTGGAATGTTTAAAATATTTATTTCTGTCTCGTGCTTAAACAGTTCAAATCTGTGAACCAGTCGTTTAAAAAGATTATGGATAAGATTTGGTCCTATGCTTTTAAAATGTCCTGAGGGGCTATGTGACCAGGTGGACTAGACCCGAAGCTCCCTGCTGGAGGCTGGTTGCCTTGCCGCACCCAGCCCCAGGGAAAAGAGCAGAAGGTAGGTCCTCCAGGCAGGCTAGCGTGGCAATCAGGGCCCAGGAAGCTGGTATAAAAGAAGCTGCTGGGTCAGGGTCTGGCAGTTCCTTGCTGAAACTCCACACAGTGAAACCCGGGAACTGACTGGAAAGATGGTGGCACCTCAGACAGCTCCAAGTATGAACTGGATTTCAGACCTGGCTGAAGCCCAGGTCCAGCAGCTGAATTCTTTATGAACGCATTAATAAACTAAATATATTAGTTCATCCATCAGTGATATGCAAACACTTCTGAGATCAAACAATGTAGCTGTTTGGTTTTGTATTTAATTGGAAAGACTGGTGTCTCTATCATCCCAGTGCCCAGCAAAGTACTGTGGGCACATTGTTTCAATTCTGAATTTAGGAGCAAATCAAACCTACTGAATCACTAATACCACTGATAAACTTATTTCTTCTAGAAATACTGCATCCAAGCGCAAACCTATCCTAACATAGGTTAGCTTGACCTTATAAAATATCGTATCTTGAGATATAGATGCAATCAATGTAATATGTTGCTATAAATGTTGCTCTATTAATGTGTCAGGTATTATATGCTCTGTGCCATGATACAAAAGAACTAGCCTTTCAAAAGCAAAAACAATTCAAGTTCACAACCAACTGCTACAACTCAATTATGTATACCACTTTATAGTAAGGACAAAACTGTTTATATAAATACCATATAACTCTTAAGTTGCACTTTCCTGGGATTAAAGAACAACTAAACCAAATACATTAACCTTGAAACACCTCTTATTTTTAACGTTACCTATTATCACTGTTGCACTAAGCGTAGGGGGTGTGGCTAAAGAACTTGACCAAGACATATCTGGATCTACTTCTGCTCCCAGACCTTCAGAAATACATGTTGGTGTCTTAACCTAGAAATACATCAAATCGTTTTTAAATAATATTTTAAAACAACACTCTCTCTTAGATACTTTACTGGTGTGTCTTGCTCACATACTTAGGGTCATACGGATTGACAGATCTAGAGTCCAGACAGAATTTTTCCCCAATTCAGATTATCAGGGAAGTTGGTTTTTCCCCCCACCTTCTTCTGAAACATCTCACCTAATTAATTCAACACCACTGGAGAGGTTCACACACTTAAAATATCTCATTAGCTCCTGTTCTCTGTCTCTGGGGCACAGCGGTTTGGACTCTTTTAGTCTAGTTCAAGTCATTAGGATCAACATAGAGAGCATATGGATGGAATTTAATAGTCTCTGAGATATAGAAGATCAGATTACATGATCTAATCGTCTCTTTTTGGCCTTAAAGACCATGAAACTAAATCCAGAAATAAAAGGCTTACCTCCAAAAGCTTAGGTGTGCAAAATAAACTTCCACGTGCCACTGAAAAAAAAATCAAATAATTAGAACATTTAATTAAGTCATTCCAATGATCTTCAGAAATAAATATTAATGAGAAGGAGCACAGATGCTCACCAGGAATATTATTTCTTTGTGGTGTTCTGTAAATACCTCTTAAAGCAGCTGAACTAAACAACAACAAAAAAAATCATTACATAAAGTTAAATGGTAAACATCCCTAATAGACATTATGTATACTCTATGATATTGCCTTCACACACACACACACACACAATATTTGCAGTTTTCGTTAAATGGGTCATTAAAAGATAACTCATGAAATACCAGTGAGTTTGCATGTGGTAATTAAAATAAGGAACAATGAATCTATTCCAAGATGAATACCTGTTTCCATGAGTTTATACTAACTGTTTAATAAATGCTTTAACTGTATTAAAACCTGGCATACAATTGTCATTTTATATTAACATACTTTGCTAAGGAAGTGTTCAATAGTTACAGATACTCTGGCCTGATTTGAAAAAAAAAAAAAAAAAAATCTAGAATCTGGAATGTTGCAGAGACTTGCACCATTTGGTCATTAACTTGTTTGGTTTTTTTGCAAAGCAAGCAAAACAAAACAAAAAATGGTTACTTACCTTCGTAACTGTTGTTCTTCAAGATGTGTTGCTCGTGTCCTTTCCATGTAGGTGTGCACACGCTGCATGCATGTGACTTCGGAAGTTTTTCCCTTAGCAGTACCCGATGGGCCAGCAGGGGAGCCCCCTGGAGTGGCGCAGATATATCAGCTAATATATACCTCTGCTGGCTCTCCACCCCCTCAGTTCCTTCTTACCAGTCTACTCTGAAGAAGGGGAGGAAGGCGGGATTTGGAATGAACATGAGCAACACATCTTGAAGAATAACAGTTTCAAAAGTAATTAACCATTTTTTCTTCCTCAAGTGATTGCTCATGTCCATTCCATGTAGGTGACTCCAAAGCAGAACCCCAAGGAGGCAGGATTGGAGTTTTAACCTATTGGAGGACGGCCCTCCCCTGGGCAGAGTACTCCCTTGCCTAATGACCCAGCACATAATGATTGGTGAAAGTGTGGACAGAAGACCATGTGGCAGCCCTGCAGATGTCCAGGATTGAGACCTAGGCCACAAATGCTTTAGAGGAGGCTTGAGCCCTGGTGTAGTGGGCCGTGAGGGGAGGGACTGACACTGCAGCCAGCCCATAACACTCCTTGATACAGGACGTGATCCACAAAGAGATCCTCTGTGCAGAGACCAGCTGCTCCTACAGCCTCTCTGCAATTGCTACAAAGAGCTGTGGGGACTTACGGAAGGGCTTTGCTCTTTCCAAATAAAAGGCTAACACTCTCCTAACATCTAAAGTGTGTAATACATGCTCCTTACCCAAAGCATAGGGCTTGAGGTAGAAAACTAAGAGGAAAACATCTTGGGACACATGAAAATAAGACACTACCTTCGGAAGGAAGGTCAGGTGGGAGTGTAATCTGACCTTATCCTTAAAGAAAACCATGTACAGGGAGTCCGAGGTGAGGGCCCTCACCTCGGACACACACCTCGCTGACATAATAGCCATCAGGAAAGACATCTTCTGTTACCCCAAAAATATTCTTACTGGAGACCACCCAGGGTTACACTAGTATGGGTTTATTTCCACTAGGTAAAACTGAAGAGGAGAAAGCAGCCACCAAAGGTTTAAGCTAAAGAAGATAGAACTCTCTCTCTCTCTCTCTCACACACACACACACCCCTCCATTCATTAACTCAGTCATTCACACCCACTCATTCCTGCCCTCAGGCACTCACACACTTACACAGACATATGGGTTCAAGAAGGAGCCAAGGCATGTGGATCCTGGAGGGCCTGTCTGCTCATCATGGCTGGGGAAGCTGGTCAGGAGAGAGAGACACTGGAGAGAAGCAGAAAAAAGAGCGTGTCTCACATGTGCTCCTTCTCTTTATATAGTGTCTGAATGGCTCATGTGACTCATTCACCTTGTCATCAGGGAGCATGCCCAGACTTCTCTTTATCCAACAGGGAGCATGCCCATACTGTGATGACTCATTGCCATGTGGTCCATTGTTCCAAGACTTCTTCAAACACACTCACACTCTCTCTCCATTCACTCAGGGGAGAATGCAGCTTAGGGAAAGTTACAAGCAAGGTGGCTGCATGTTACAAAGATTACAAAGTTGCAGTTTACAGTAAGTTTGAGAGTTAAACAGATTGCAAAGACTGACAAGGATCACAATAAGTTGCAGTTTAAAACCTTAGACTTTACAGTTTGGTGTAGCTTTAGAAAATCCATGTATATAAATCTAGTGAGCTCAGGCAGAGGCTTTTTTATGCAACATCTTCCAAGAAAGATGTTGCCAGGGGCTCAAAGGGAGGCCCCATGAGCTTGGACAGGACCAGATTGAGGACCCATTGGGGGACAGGCTGACGAACATGATGATAAACTCTGTCCGACCCTTTCAGAAACCTGTGTACCATAGGTTTTGTCCGGGAGCTCAGGTGGAAAGCAGAGATGGCCTCCAGGTGTAACCACACTGAAGAGGAGGAAACCCCTCTAGCCTAAGATCCAGGAGATAGTCCAGGTCAAGCAGGATCTGGGCCTTCATGGGTGACACCCCCTTTTGGGCAGCCCAGATAGAGAAGTGCTTCCACTTGGCAAGGTAGGTGACCCTAGTAGACGGTTTCCTACTTCCAAGTAAGACCTCCTGCACCCGCTCCGAACACTGCAGCTCTGCCGTTGTCAGCCATGGAGCTTCCATGCCATTAAGTGTAGGGACTGCAGATTTGGACGGCGGAGCCTGCCAAAGTCCTGCGTGATGAGGTCCAGGACCAATGGGAGGGTGATCCGAATCCCGCAAGACAGTCTCAGGAGAGACATGAACCAGTGCTACCTGGGCCACCCTGAATTCCTGAAACCACAGGAGTACCTTGTGGGCCAGCGGGAAAGGTGGGAAGGCATAAATGAGACTCTTGGGCCAAGGGGTAAGGAGCGTATCCCCTAGGGAGCCCCGCCTCAGCTCCAGCCTCATGAGGGAACAGAACCTGAGGCACTTCCTTTTCCACCAGGTGGCGCACAGGTCCCGAAGGGGAAACCCCACTTGCAGAAGACTTGGAGGGCTACTTTCCCTCTGAGGGACCACTGGTGACTGGCGAAGGACCTGCTCAGCCGATCTGCCAGAATGTTCTGGGACCCCGGGAGATAGGAGGCAAACAGGTGAATATCCGCCCTGATGCACAGCTCCCAGAGCTGAAGGGCTTCCCCACACAAGGGAGGGGAGCGAGCCTCACCCTGCCTGTTGATATAGGTGACTGCCAATGTATTGTCGGAGAGTATAAGGCCTGTCTTGCCCCCAAGCTGAGGGAGAAAGGCTGAAAAGGAGTGGTGGACTACCCACAGCTCCCTGACATTGATATGCAGGGAGAGGTCATTCCTTGACCACATACCTTGAGTCCACATGCTCCCCCCAGCTGGACCCCCCCAACCAGTGTCGGACGCTTCCGTCAATAACCTGAGAGGAGGCAGAGGTCTGGTGAACGAGACTCCACTGCAGACCACCTCTTCTTGAGTCCACCAGTCCAGAGAGCACAGGACACCAGGTGGAACTGTCACCACTCTGTCCCAAGACTGCAGGGACAGGTTGTGTACCCGCACAAGCCACATCTGTAAAGGACGCATGCAGAGCCTGGTGAGTTGAATGACATAGGTGCACGCAGCCATCAGTCCCAGGAGGTGCATGCAAACCCTGGCTGTGGTCATCAGGAACTCCCACATGTCCTTGATGGCCGCCTTAATCTGCCAGGAAGCGGGACCTGGGAAGGGAGGCCATGGCCGACACTGAGTCCAGGTGCCCCCCCCCACAATGAACTCTATGACCTGGCTGGGAACCAGGGTTGACTTAGCCACATATAGGTGCAACCCCAGCTCACTAAAAAGGTTTTGCACTAGAGCGATGTGGGCTGGCAAAGAGCCTTGAAGGAGCCAGTCATCCAGGTAGGGAAATACCTGGACACCCTGCTTTCTCAGTGCAGCAGCCTCAATGGCGATACACTTCGTGAACACCCAAGGAGCCATAGAAAGGCCAAAAGGAAGGGCTGTAAACTGGTAGTTGTCCTGGCACACCGTAAAGTGAAGGAATCGCCCGGGGTGCAGTGCAATGGAAATACGGAAATAGGCATCTTTTAGATCGAGGGCAGCGTACTAGTCTCAGCAAAGTAGGGAGGAAATGACAGACGCCAGAGTAACCATCCTGAATTTGGCCTTGGTGATTAAGGCTTTGAGTTCCCTGAGGTCCAGGATCGGCCGAAACCCTCCCTTGGCCTTGGAGATCAGAAAGTATCAGGAGTAGAAACTCTTGCCTAGGAAACCCTGGGGAACCACTACAGCCGCCCCCAGGGATAAGAGCTGCTGGACCTCCTCCCGAAGGAGATGCTCATGAGAGGAGTCCCTGAAGAGGGAATGGGCAGGTTGGGGGAGGGAGGGGTTGAAAGGAAGGGGATGGCATATCTCCCCCACATACTGTTTCCAAGAACCAACGGTCTGAGGTAACGGATTCCCAGGCCTGGCAGAAAGGGAATAAGCGGTGCCTGAATGGGAATGGTGTGGCTGTTATGCTGTCCTTAAGCATACCCTCACAACCCTTGACAGAGACCTGGGGGCTTGCTGGATGGGCCCTGACCATGGTCCAAGGCTGGGCAGGATCAGCGTCTGCCGTTCCCCCCTTTGCCATTTCTCCTGCTTCGGTGGGAGAAACTGAGGCGGGTGCCCTACAAAGAGGGCCTAGGGGTGTTCCTGACCGATAGGGAACGCTGTTGGTTTAAGCCGGGTATGAATTACCAGGGACTTTAAGGTAGCCTGGGTGTCCTTAACACTGTACAGATGTTGGTTGGTCTGTTCGAAGAGGGATGAGCCCTCAAACAGAAGGTCTTGAATAGTGGTGAGAATGCAGCTTAGGGAAAGTTACAAGCAAGGTGGCTGCATGTTACAAAGATTACAAAGTTGCAGTTTACAGTAAGTTTGAGAGTTACACAGATTGCAAAGATTGACAAGGATCATAATAAAGTTGCAGTTTAAAACCTTAGACTTTACAGTTTGGTGTAGCTTTAGAAAATCCATGTATATAAATCTAGTGAGCTCAG